CCTATCCCTGTGTGCCTTGAGCATGCTGTGTGTTTGAACATGCGACGTGTTGTTTGGCGTTTCGTGGAAGTCGTCCTGTTATCGGAGACCGAGCTTATTGCAATTTCGCTATTTCAAATTCCATTCGCGTATTTGTTATTTAATACACGAGGTATCGTTCGCTCTATTTTCACAAGACTCACTATAAGAAACTTGTATTCTCTTAATTTCTTATTAAATTTCATGCACCATCAACGTATCATCGAAAATTATTGCATTATTATTTGAATCGCGACTTATGAAAAGGAAATTTATCAGGGATGAGCACTGAAAATCGCAAGATTTTCAAATTGCAGAAAATTCCAAACCATCGATTTCGAGGAATCATCGTCGATGTATTTTAGAAGATAAAACACTAATAAATACTAAAATATTTTCCAATTGGTTCGAGATGTATTTTATAGACAATTTTTTTACGAAATTACATTTACGCTCGCGTCAGAATACAGCTGGCAAACAGTAAACATCCAACTTTCATTATTAATCGATAATATATAATATCTTGTCATATAAGTGATAAAAAAAATTATGATAAATAGATCAAGCACGTTCAAAGTGATTTTCGAAAAGTTTGGTGATTTATTGAAAAATGACTCTCAGTCTAATTAATAAACGTAATAAACAGTCGTTATATTTTTCGATTTATACCGATTTAAGCGATCGTTATTAACGAGGCACACGCGAAAGGAAAGCTTTAGGAAAAGCTTCCATCGAGTGACTGGGTCATCCAATCAGACGTGGAATCAATGTTCTTCTCGCGCAATTTGGCATCGAGCGAATTCAACTTAATCCAATAGTCTTCCCCGACGATATCAAACGGCAAAAAAAAAACGCAGTATCGAATCGTCGTTGGCCTTCGAGTTTTTTGAAATTCATATGTGCATCCCCAGATTAATATCGATTTGTTAGATCCAGCTTCATTTCGGATTTATATGCCCGATATAGAATCGCACAATTAAATAATGTCATAATTCTCAATAATTTGTTATTTTTTTTCAAAAGCAGAAATAAACGTGCATAATATTTTAGATATGAAAAAATGAGACTGTACTGTTGCAAATTGAAAAACAATTAACATTTGCATTTAAATTAAATTGAAATTCATGTATGCAATTGTTAATTACATTAGTTTATAAAATTTTTTTCGTTAACTTTGGGATTTTTACGTGAATTTTTGAATGTTTTCGAAGAAACGAAATCAAATTTAATTTTAAATTTATATATCACGTCAGAATTTTAAAAATAGCAACAGCTTATATAATTCATAAAAAAAACATGAAAAGAGCATAAAAATGTATATTTTACTGTATATCTGTGATTGACAATTAATTTTGCAATTATTTATATTTACAATATACAACAAAAATTATAAACAAAAATTGCTCCAAAAATTGGAGTTCTTGTCTGCTACTGTTTTTTATTTCTGGGATGTTTGTTTACAATCCTTATTTTATATTTTGATATAATCACAGTTACAATCATATGATATTTCTATAATAAAATTGCATTATATATTTTTTTATTATATAAATAATCTATGATTTGTATGCATTTTCGTAAACTTTATAACTTGTCATTTTTTATTCTTGATATGATACATAAATTTGACGGTGAGATTCGATTTTAACGAGTTTAAAAATCTACACGTAACATCTAGTCCGGCTCCAAGATCGGAGTAAAGATTTTCTTTTCTTACAGACTAGTGTTATTAGTAATACGTAAAATTTAATTTATTTCAAAAACATTATGTAAAAACCAGATTTTTAAATGTGTTTTAAAAGTGAAGTTACATGTTGCATCATCGATTGTTTCAATGATTTCCCGTCGTGTATCGCTTGATGTATCGCGAATAATTAATAATTACAGCATTCGTGCAGTGCGTGACGTACGGTAAAGTGCTTTGCGTCTATAGATGCGGTAACGTCCTTTATCCAATGCGGAATAATTTTCTTATACGTAGGCGGAATATTTTGATTGGGGAGAGCCGCAGCGGGGTTATCAAGGAAAGTTGGAAGGCGAAGTTGTAAGACCCGCGACTTACGTCCCGACGATTCGCGGCTTCGCAGAAAATCTTTGCAACTTTTTCAAGGATCCCTTCGAGCACACACCGGCACCTTATGCCGGTCGAGGAGGGGAGGAGCGAGGGGGAGGGAGAGGGGGGGGGGAGGGGAAGAAAGAGGCGTGTTAGAAAGCTCGCGCTTCTCGGAAGCGCGAGCTTTACACGTGCGAGAGATCGGTCGCCGTTAGAAATCGCGTTCGTACGGCAAGGACATTCTCGGACGTTCTCTAGATTTCGATTGTTCGATATCGGCCGCGACACGTCGCGCGGAAAAACGTGTTCGCGACGTTTCTCTGCACGAAGAGAGAATCTCGGCACGTGAGACACCCTCGTGCTCCGCGCGTCGCGGATTCACTCAGAGGAGAAAGTGGTAATACGATAGAAACCGGTATAACGTCGACGAGTCTAATTTGCTATGCCGTACGCAGAGCAAGATGTACCTCGTATCAATTATTGCGCTTCTATTGTCACTGGTGTGCATAGAAATCATTTCCCTGCCTATAGCATCGACGTGGGCTTATCAAGTTAAATCGAGAAATTTTAATCTCCTACGATTAGATTTCTTTTCAATTAGTCGAAGTATTTGTATAAACTTTTGCTAATAGGTTTTTTTTTGTGTATAATATATCACTTTGATCATTATGTATTTGTATTTGACATCTGACAATTATTCATTCTAGTTTAGATTTTTTTGTTTCTTTTTTCTTTTTTCCTTTCTTTCCTTCTTTTACTTTTTCGCAATCGGGATGAAATGGTATCGTTATTTTATAGATAATCGACATGACAGACTTTCGCTGGTTGAATCGCCTCTCGGAGTATTCAATGAGAAACTCAAGCTACAGAAACTACGATGACATATAGATATAGTCACATGTCAGTCGCGCTTATTGTATCGATGTACTTATCGTTCAGTTTATCGAATCTCTCAATATCGCTCGCGTGTAACAATAAAAAGATCTTTAAACTTTTGTTAAAAAAAGTAGCGAAAAAGCGAAGGAGGGAAGGAAAATAAAATGCGATTCTCACCGGGTTCGGCAAAGGTTATGATCTCCGAGGTTCTCGCGTAGAAGTCGTCCAACTCCTCCTGAGCGTCGTCGTAGTCCTGATAAGAGTTGGCGGTGGTCCTGGCGTTACCCTCGGTAGTGATGGTCTCCTGATCGAGGTTCCTGTACGAGTACTCGTCGCCGTAGAGGAACTCGCCCGAATAGTCACTCTCGTAGTCGACTCTCGACCGGTCGGAGTAACGCGGTAGCGATTGCGCCTCCGCCCGATAAAGAGTCTCCAGGGCCAAGTGCCGGGGCACGGTGGCCAACGTCCTGTTAACGTCCGGGCGAGCTCTCAAGCCGAGTTTGTGCAGGATCTGAAGCTTGATCGCCTCGAGCCTGATAGTGTCCGGGCTAGGCGTGGGAGTGTCCTTGAATAGGCCGCCCCTCGCTGGGCCTTCGTGGTGATGCACGTGATGATGATGATGATGATGATGCGGCTGCGGCTGCGGCTGCTGATGCGGGCAGCCGGGACACGTTTGATGGTGGCCACTGAAACGCGGCTGCACCGCTGGCAGGGCGAGACAACAGAGTGCCAGTCCTATGAGCAACAAATTGGACGGCAGCGACGGCGGGGCGCCGCCGTGGACGGTGCGCACCGGGCCCAGGTAATGCAAGGGGGACACGCGGTCCACGTCGGGCCCGGCGTCGTGCCGTCGTAACGACCGCTGTCGCGTCGTCGTCGTCGTCGCCGTCCGATCGACG